GTTTTGGGTTCGGGGAAGGAGCTCTGGCCGTGAGAGCCGGGACTTCGAGGCAACAAAAACCCTGAGCCCCAGAGCCTCAACCCTAAACCCTAAACCCCTAAACCCTAAAACCCTAAACCCCTAAACCCTAAACCCGAGAGCCTCAACTGGAATCCGAAGCCTGTGGCTCTATAAGGGCTACTCTAGGGTTTAGGGTTTAGGGTTTAGGGTTTAGGGTGTATATATATATATATACATAGGAGTTTAGCGTAAGGGCTCCTTAAAAGGTTCTATACGGGCTATATAAAAAAAGGTTCAGGGTTTAGGGGCCTGAGCAATTAGAACAGGGCTTTGGGGTATATTCTGCCATAACTATAAAAAGGAACCCTAATATTCTATAGGTAAGTATTCAGGCCCCTCCAGCATGGCATCAACAAAGCTGCATAGCTCATGAGCGATTGGGGGAAAATAGGACTGCTCAGGATTGCTTCTGACTACTTGGAACCACCTACCTAAACCCTAAACTATAAACTATAAACCCTAAACCTCACCGAAACAAAGACAATGGATCACCAGCAACCGAGGAATTCAAAGGGCTTCCTTTTGGTATAGGGTAGGTAGGTTCGTGTACAAAGAACCTAAGACCACAACAGGGAAAAGGTGCCCACAGGGAGACCCAAAAACTAGTTTTACAAGGGACCTAAGACCACAAACAGGGCCCACTGGAAGACCTAGAAACTAGAACTGCCAACCCCTCAACAGTCCGAAGTACTCGAGACATGAGCAGTTGCAGTGTTTCTAACAACCTACCGGCGCTTGCTGCTGTAGTCGTCATATGGGTAGTTCTCTAAATTAGAGTCCCTTTTGCGGCCCCCCAAATAGTACGGTAACCCACCTAAAAAGGGTCCCCCAATTTAGAACCACCCACATCGTAGGCAAGCAAGATATCCTGAGGCAACGTGCCTCTCAGAGGTTAGATGAGCCCGATCAGGCGACCTAAACCTTCAGGTGAGATACATCTGTTACATGGCAGTAACACGAACATAATGTAGGGGCCTTGATAATTGGAAAAAGGGTTTGGGGTCCTGTATAGTATAATTATTAAGGAACCCCCAAAATAATCTAGGTAACTATTGAGGCCCTATACTGCAAACCTCACCTCGCCCTTAGGAACCCGTTTGGGAGAGGCCTTTTTATGCTTTGGATTTTCCTAGTGTCTTTTGATGTAGGAGTCCACAGAACGTTGCTTGAATGCACCCTCAGAAACACTGGTTAGTCTGAGGCCCAATCGAGACTGCTAAGCCAGAGTTACACAGAACCCCAACAAATCTCAAGAACATCTTCCTAACCTGGCAGGGGTGAAACTACGAAATGCCGAAACCCTACGAACACACGCAGACGTACACAGAGATGAATGGCTGAGACAGGAGCACATCCAGGAAGATGGGTCGAAAGATCCAAACCCCTAAAGCCCAGGGTCGAGGATTTTAGGGGTTTGGGGGTTTAGGGTTTGTGGGGTTTAGGGGTTTGGGGTTTGAGGTTTAGGGCTTCAGGGCTTGATTGTTTGGGGTTTAGGGTCTACCTACACCCGAAACCCTTGAAACCTAACTCCAGCCCACTCAAATTCACAACGACCCCGCGATTCGCCTGCGCCGGGGGCGCTGAGCTCTGCGTAGTGAGCTGCGCCACTGCTGCTGAGCTGGACATCCTGCTAGGGCTCCACATGTCTTTGGGGTTTAGGGTTCCGGGCATAAGTTTTAAGAATTTAGGGCTTAGGGGCTTTGGGTTTAGGAGGTTCAGGGTCCATCTATCTATGTCAGTCACTTAGAGTTACCGCCAGTGAACCTGAAGCCTCAAGCCCCGAAAAAAAGCCCTGCAAGCCTCCGCGCAGAAATCTTAAGCCCGAACACCCCGAAGCGACTGAATCCCACAAACATTAAAACCCCAAACTAAACCCTAAACCCTAAACCCTAAACCCTAAACCCAAACCCCAAAAACCCAAATCACCATGAAAAAAGAAAGGACCTCAATCCAAAATCCCACAGGGCTCCAGTCCCGAATCCTTGAAGCCCACCCTCAACACCTTAAACCCTAAACCCCCCAACACCCAAGCAGGATCCTGAACCCTGAAGGTTTAGGGTTTAGGGTTTATAGGGTTTAGGGTTTTAGGGTTTAGGGGTACCCCTTCACCTTCAACCGTGAACCAGGCACCCCAACCCCCTTAAGCCCACGCCCAAGGTCCCACGCCTTCGGAGACGCTCCAACAATCGGAGAAGTTGGGAGAGGGAAACGCCCTGGGTTTCGGGGGGAGTGCAGAGCTCTTTCTAGCTTTGGGGCTTAGGGTTAAAGGCAACGCCTGAACCCTAAACCCCTAAACCCCTAAACCCTAAACCCCTAAACCCCTGAACCCCTAAACCCTAAACCCCTGAACCCTCAATCCCTATAAACCCTAAACCCTGGCATGATGGGTTGTTCTTGGTTTTGGGGCGTTCGGGCTTGGACTTTGGGGTTCAGGATTTGGGGCTCAAGCTGCTAATGTAGGGGCCTTACTACCTAGAATAGGGTTTTGGGGGTTCCTTATTACAATTGTAGTAGAAGATCCCCAAAACCCTGTTCTAATTCTTAAGGCCCCTACATTAAAAGCCTTTAGGGTTTAGGGATTACCGGGTTTAGGGATAGCAACATCGAGAACACCACCTGGCGAGAATAAGCAATCCGAAAGAGCGACGAAAACTCGAAAACTCTCAAGCGTAAAGATCACTAGAGAACATCGAGAATCGACTTGTATCTCATGACCTACCCCGAAATGCAAGAAAAACTTCTCAGGCCTGAACATCAAATGAATAGCAGAGAATATCATCGAGATATCTCATGCCCTAAACGCTAAACCCTAAAGCCTGAACCCCCCAAGCTCCGCAGGGCAGATACTCGTGAACAAGCGCCACCGTGTAAACGTCTATCCATAGGCCCCATAGTAGTTCCTTTTGGGGATTACCTTATAGGATTCTATATATGAACCCCAAAAAAGGAACTACTTTAGGGCCTATGGGTAGACCCAAGACCGACGGATCGCCAAACCTGTCCGCAAAAGGTCCGGTCACCGATAGTGGCTTAAAGGATTACTAAACCTTGGTTGCCCTAAGGACCCATGTACCTGTGAACCATGTAGAATTTAACTTGAAGGGGTACCTTTCGAGGTACTATAGATTTATAAAAATAGGATCATAGCTTACACTATGTCGGCAACTGGGCTGGGAACCTCTCAATTCCATATGCGAATCCGAAACCCAAAAATATCCAAAGCGGCCTCTCGCAATGTGCGCTGCTGGAAGTCCCACACCTTGTAACAGTTGAGAGATGTCCAGAAATATTTCGAGTTCTGAAGGTGCTCTGCGGACGGGGTGGCCTTCCTGATGCCATGCATCTATGTGATTATGTAGAAAAGGCATGACTATCCACCTACCTGGCCACCTACCTGTCTTATCAACCTATGTGCGTGCCTGCCTACCTCCCTACCCTACCCTACCCTACCCTGCCCTGCCCTACCCTACCCCACCCGACCCTACCCGACCCGACCCGACCCGACCCCACCC